TCATCACTGTCAGCAAAAGGACTGGAATGACTCGTTCCTTCATGGTCCTGTAAAAAAGCACAAACTAGGCCTTGGTCTTAAAACCGGGTCACAGGGTTAGAAGTCCGGTATTATCCACCAGGCACTGATGTAGTGAGTCTTTCCACTCCCATGAGATGGTCTCAGAAGACCAATGTAATCAACCTGCCACGTGCTCCAAAGAGCCTTGCCTTGTCTGATATGCTGGGCCGCAGCTTGGTTTGGGTGATTAGCTTTAAGCCTTATTCGGCATTGTGGGCGAGCTGTAAGAATTGCTTCACAGGTTTTCATAGACACTGGCCAACCCCGAGATCGGCATTCATAATAGAGATCTGCTTTCCCTGAGTGGCCTCGTTTGATATGCAACCATTCTGCTAGTATATCCCAATCTTCCTTCTCACTGGTGACCATCCTGATTTGGGCCAGGTGGTCCACCTGCTGATTCCATTTCGCAGCTGGGGTTCCATCCCGAGCATGTCCCTTCACCCATCCCACCTTTAAAGGTTGGGATCTCCCTACTGCCAGGAGCCGTTGCCAGTCCTCTGTCCTCCACACTTTCACATGACCTACTTCCCCCTTACTAGATTCCCACTGACATAGCCACTCTGTAGCACCCTTAAAGGTTGCGTAAGAGTCAGTATAGACGATGGTAGCACCATTCTCTATGGCCAGTAATAAAGCCCGTAGTTCTCCTACTTGTGCACTACCTTCACCCTCATCTTCGACTTTCTTCCCAGTACTAATCTCCAATGCCACTGCTTTATATTGCCATCTTGATCCCACTGGATGGGCAGATGCATCAGTGAACCACACTCCCTGCATATCGGAGCCTGCCACAAATTCAGGTGCCTCTTCAATCAGAGAAGGTTTATATGGTTAACCCAGCAAGGCTGGGTCAGGGTTTACAGGTTGCTGTAGTTTGAAAACCTTAACCAGACTCTCCTTTAGTGGGAGCAATTGGCTTATCCCTTCTAGGTATGCATACCATTTCCTAACTGTGGCCTTTTGGGCTGCTCCCTTGGGAGAAGGTGATCCATTAAGGATTGAGTTTAGGAAAGGAAAAGGGCCCTGTACTGTCACATCTTGTGAGGTACACAGCTTTTCAGCCTCTTTAACTGCTCTAGTAAGGGAGAGGACCCCCTTTTCCCAATCTGAATATCGTTGCTCAGTCTCTTTAAATGCAGTGGAAGAGAATAATAAAGGCCTGGCTGGTCCCTGTGGTCCCTTTTGAAACATGCCACAGTATGAGGCATGTTCAGCAAATCCCCATTCCACCCTTAATGGATCTTGTGGGTGCAATGGACCTAGTTTCTGATAAGCCTTAAGCTCATCTTTCAGAGTGTTAAGGGCTTCCGTATGTTACAAAGTCCAATCCCATTTCCTGTTTTTTCGAAGCAAGTCATACAGAGGGCGGGCAATCACTGAGAACCCGGGTATATGTTTTCTCCAGTAGCCCAAGGTACCTAGCAGCTGCTGTAATTCCATTTTATTACTTGGAGTCTGTCCCTTTCAATAGCTGATAGAGTGTCATCAGGTACCGCAACTGCCCCAGCTATCCACCATGCCCCTAGGAATTTGACTTCTTGTCCCGGACCTTGGCATTTAGAAGATGGAATGTCTAGCCCATTCTTGACTAACAGATTCCAGATGGCCTCAGCCACTTGCCCTACCTGTTCCTTGTTGTCCCCACCAAGTAGGTTATCATCTATATATTGATATATGTGGACACCTGGTGGTACCTCCACAGCATCAAGGAGCTTGGCTAAAGCATCATGAGTGATAGTGGGGGAGTGCTTGTATCCCTGGGGAAGTCAATTAAAGGTGTATTGGGTCCCTTCCCAAGTGAAGGCAAACTGGGGTTTGTCCTCTTCCCTTAGAGGAACCATAAAAAACATATCCTTGACATCTAAAACAGCCATCCATGGGTGGGCTGCAGCCTGTATTGCTGTTATCACTGAGGTGATACTTGGGATGGCAGAAGTTAATGGTGGGGTATTACTATTCAATCTTCTATAATCGTTAGTCGCCACCTTCTATCTGATTTACAGACTGGCCAAACAGGGGAATTGTAAGGAGAATGTGTGCGACTGATGATGTCTCTTTTCTCCAGGTCATTAATTACTTCTGAAATGCCCCGTTTGGCAGTGATTGGCAAGAGGTATTGAGAGACACGGGTTACTTTAGATTGCGGTAGTGCAGGAGCAACCTGCAATGTTCTCACATAAATAGCCTCTGCCTCCCTGCCCCCAAAGCTCCACACCCTACCATCGGGTAGATACCATTGTCTGCCTGCCAGCACATCAAATCCCAGTATATTTCCCTCATAGGGGTTTAAAGCCACCTCCACAGCTGTCATTCTTTTTTCCCTCAGTAGCCGAAGTTGGGTTCAAGCTATGGGGCATTTTTCTGTTGCCCCTGTTACTCCTCTAATGTTTATATCCTTTCTTGATGGCTTAAGTCCCAGGTCACTAGCTTGTTGTTCATTTAAAACACTAATTTGGGCTCCTGCATCGATTAAGAATTCCAAACTTATCTGTTTTGGGTCCACAGGAATGTATATATCAGGCTCTTTATTAGCAGAGCATTGGCAAGTATTTACCATGTGGATTGGGCGGCCTGAACCCCAAACCGCAGCTCCTAGTTTTTTAGCCCATCCAGTTCCTTTTGCAGTGCTGCGAAAGGGTCCCATTCCCTTCCCGTGGGGGCGGGGTTGCTGGCGCTTCCCTCTGTTCTCTAGCTTTCCCCTCCAGCAATTCCACCAACTTCCGGATGTCATCACCAGACTGCTCGTCCAGCAGGGCTTGGGGTGCCCCCAGTGCCAGTGCCTTCCGCCAGAGATCATTCATTTCCGGATCGTAATTCCGGTCTGCCCACCCATGAGATCGAGACCGCTCGGGGCGGGGTTTACAACTGGCTGCCCGGACCTTCCTGCCGCCCTCCGTGCCACCGCTCGGCTCCACCCATCCCATCTCACGCCCGTAAACTACTATGTTGTGCAGTACTTCCTCCCAAGTCATCACACGCGTGGCCGGCTCCTGGGGGTTCTGTCGGTTACGATCAGTGGCCCCCTGGATTGTTTCTCTGAGGGACTGGATGCGTATTTTTAAAGCGTCCAGCAGACCTCTAATAAGGGGTCTGAGGTGGCAGGGATCCACCAGTGCAGTCATCGGTATCCCTTGCTGCCCTCTATCATATATAGCCTGAACACAGGCGGCCTTTTGCACTCCCTCTGTTAACTCCGACAGTCCCTTTACCCGGATAGCAATAGGTTCTCCTCTCTCCCTCGGGTCCACACCCCCAGCCCAGTAAGCTACTCGGGACATTATTGACCAATCCCCCGGCGGTCCATCATTCAGAAATACTCCCGGTCCCCAGTAATTTCTTGCTTCATCATCACTCAACAGTATCCAATCCCTCCCCGTTAAAGAAACTCTCCACAAATACTCAGTTTTGGTTTCACCCGGCTTGCGCGAAAAATTAGCTTGCAACTCGCCGAGCTCAGGTCCCGACCAAGGGGCTGTGCAAACAGCGCTCCGGGGGCTCCCACCGTGCGGACCCGCATGCCCTTCTGTTTCAATAAGGGGCCACATGTCCCTTTCCTCCAATTGCACCTTCAGATAGTCTATTTCCCCTTGCCTTTTTCGGTTCTGTGCTTGAATCCGGCAGGCGCCCGAGAGGGCACACACGGTGCCTTTGCTGTCTCAGCAAGTACCGCGGCATAGTTCTACTCTCTCCACGACCGCTGCCAGGTCGGACCACTTCTCCTTCGCCCATTCCAGACCTGGGGGAGAAGGGCTGCAGCCGTGCCTCCGTAATAATTCCTCTATTAACATCATCCTGCCGACTACGC